GCGCTTTGTGATCTCAAACCATAATCCACCCTTATAATGAACCGAAAAGTTTCGGTTTGACCAACTTGCGTAAGTAAATTCTTTAATAAAATTCGCAATTTTCCTTGTAAATCATTTAAAACGTTAAATCTCGCATTTTATTTTCCTGGCTGTTAGGAATTGGACACAAGAAAGTATTGGAATCGCGTCAAATTTCGCCCTTTGTATTTTTCGTAAATCTCAACGTTTTAAGATCCCTGAACCTAAAAAAAGTAAAAAAACAAATCCAGCAACGAGTTCCATAACTTTCCCGGCTGTTATAACGTTTTATTTAAAATAAAACTTTTATATTTAAAATCATAATAAATAAAATTACGTGTGTCGCCATCTGTTATGAGACTTTATTATAAAAACTTTTCATATTTATAATTATTACAATATGGCAAATAGCTTAATTTTGAGACTAGTGAGGAGTTTTATAGAAAATTGTAAATGCTAATAACGAGTAAAAACTTCATTAAACCCTAGTGGAGATATGACACGTGACCCTCTCTAACTCCCCACCCCTTCGACTTTTTACCACCAAAATTTAATAGCATCGATGCTCCTTGCACACAAGATACCATGCCAAATTTCGTTTCCTAATCTTTACCCCATCCTGACATATTTCAAGAAATAGACACCAACGTACACGCATTCACGGAATTTTTCCGTCTCTTTTGAATTTTTTGGGTTCAGGGGTTTTCAAAACATGGAGATTTGCAGGAAACTCGGAGGATCAAATTTGACACGATTACAATACGTTACCTTGTTTCGTGTATCTAACAGAGGGGAAATTAGTACTATCTAAATACGAGATTAAGCAAGTTCGAAAAGTTACGCAAATTCATATTGTTATATCATGATAATAATAATGAAAATTGGTTGGTTTTTAGTCTGAAGAAGAACCAGATAAAGTTTTCGGTCCGAAATGTATCATCTGTAATCGAAATAAATAAGAATAAAGTTGCCTTCCGAATAAAATCTGTCGTGTTAAAATCGGTGTAAATAAGATTCCTATTAAACGATTACACACTAAAATATTTTTTAAAAGTTTTTTCAAAAATTTTAACCGATTCAGAGACATAAATTTTGCTAATTTTTTTTAAATATAATAATTTTAAATCGTGTTTTAAATTTGGAATATTAAAGTTCGATTGCCATAGAACGGAATCGTTTCTTTGAACATCGTTCGAAACGTCGAATTCCGTCATTCTGCTTCTATTCCGAAGAAGAAAAACAACGCCATGGACGATCGTCAAAAAACAAAAGAAGAAACTCGAGCCCCCGAATTATAGAAAATGACTCCTTTCGACCAAGAAACGCTTCGGAGATTAAAGGACTTCCTCCACGACGTCAGCAGAAATATACGCGGAAATATCCTAAGAAAAAGTGGAAGAAGCAGGATAACTCGAAAGAACACATCTAGGAAGATGTCGAAGGCCAGCAAAGCCAGGACAAGACGATCGAAATTAAAAAGGTTGGAGAGGAGGAAGAAAAGTGGAGGATCCAAGGGGAGAAAGAGGAGTTGTGATAGGAGTAATGGCAGCAGAAACAGAACAGGGCGTCGATAGAACTGAAATCTTCAACCAGAACCGGAATTGCAATTGCTAGATTCCCGTAATTTAGCAATCAAACGGCTCTTTTCAGAGCCATGCTTTTATTGGTGAAGAATAGATTTCAATCAACAACGCTTAATGCATTATAAGTCGGAGATTCGGTTTTATTTTAAATTTTCAAGCGTTTCTTCGAATGTAGAAATTCGAAATCGTTTAGAGTAAATTAAAAATATAAATAATATAAAAGTTTTAGAATTTAAAAATGTTCCAAAATGGAACGTACCGTTTATCGAATATTTTACAATTTTTAAAATTTAAAAATAATTTAATTTTAAAATTGAAAGAAGTGTGTATATACATATAACTAACACCTTATCCTTGCCGAGAAATATAATTTATTTCAAACAAACGTTTTCAGCCTGATTCACAGGCCATCTTCAGGTTGAGAATCAAATTTGAATTAATGGAATATAAAATTCAAAATTCAAAATCAAATAAGCAACGGAATAAGATAAAATAAAAATTTAAAAATAAAAAATAAAAAATTAAATAACCAACGGAGTAACATAAAATAAAAATATAAAAATGTAAAAAAATGTACATAGAAGTATTAAGAAATACAATTACAGTAGAGCGTCGATTATCCGAAAGTCAATCATCCGAAACGTCAATCATCCGAAAGAATTCCAGTTGGCAAATTTAAATTTTCGCCAGCGCTGTGGCGCTGCAATATTTGGCTATGTCTTGGGCTACTCAAATATTTTACGTTTTTGATACTAAATTAACTTCTGAAGTATAATTTTTTATTGTTTTTATATTTTTCAATATATTTATTTTGTTCGTACAAAATAAAAAAAATAATTTTTAACGATACAATAGTCTTCGTTAGGCTTAACATCGACGAAAATTTAACGCGAAGCGACACGCAACGGAGAAAAATGTCAAGATGGGATAAATTAATATATTTTCCGTGTATGATCAGTTATCCGAAACATCGATCTTCCGAACAATCCCAGTCCCCAATTGACTCGGATAATCGACACTCTACTGTACTAACACATCCAATAAAATTACTATTTTGACTGGTTAGAGCTCTTATTAAATTTCATGAAAGTTTATAGTTAAGAAATTTAATAAGAGCTCTAACCAGTCAAAATACAGTCGACCCCACTATACCCTTTTGATACTCTTTGCTCGTATCTTTCAGTAAATTGTAAATTTGTCCTTGTATTTTCGTGAAACTGGAGCTCAAATTTTTCAACTTCGATCTGAATCTTTGAATATCGTTTTTCATCTCAGAGATTTCTTGTTTTATTGGATGCGTGTTGATTTCATTTTGCAGAACGTCAGCGGTCTTCTTCAATTTATGGATATATCTTCTTAAATGGTAATCCTTATTCATAGTTTTCGAAAGCCCTTTACTCTTATTATTGTACTGCTCGGCAACGTTTCTTTTTTTAATTATCCAATCACCGATTCTTGATATATCTTCAGGAGTCGTGCAAATCGATTCCATCACCCGAGACAATTTTGATAAATCCAAGTTCTCCTGATCGTTGTCTAAGGAATCAAAGAGTAAAACTTGAAGGCCATCAGTTACCAACTCAGGATTCACTCATCGTAGTTGGGTCTTCATCCTGTCTCATACTACCTTTTGATAGTTTTACATCAATTTGGTTCTTGTTTTCTTTTGTTAATTGGACACTTTTGGAGTAATCCAGATTGTATTTTCTGATCCATCCCTATTTTGTAGCCTTGTATTGTTCTTTTGAAGGAAGAGGCGAGCGAAAGGTTTTTTTACATTGGTCTACATTTTCATTTATTACGGCACGATTTGAAGGATAAATAGGATTGCCTAATTTCCTTTTTCTTCCTGATTTTCTAATTACTTCAGATGATTCAGTAAGAACGTTGCCTATTGAGGCTCTTGAACCGTTACTCTAATGGATCTAAGAAATCTTCTCTGTTGGGCACTCTATTCTACTGTGTCTTATAAACTGTATCAGATAGACTGTGAATAGATTTTATAAACTTAGAATTATTGTTGTTAATTACTTTCAAATTAACAATCTCGACGAACTTTTCCGAAATTTTCCTCCAGTTCGCTTTGGAAATTTCGGATTTGCTAGATTTGGATCCTTCTTCTTTATCCATATTCTACAGAATAATGGAAGTTCTCTATAATTTAGCAATGAACTATTCGTTATATTTATTAAATTAGTAATAACTAGAGATCGAAATGATAAACTTTCTGCTCTTTTATCAATAGCGATGTTGGCAACAAACGATTTATTGTTATGTAATCCCTCAATTATCGTGATTTTTATTTTATTTATTCATAAAATATAAGTTATAATTATTAAAAATCGCACGTTATTTATATACAGATATAACACATTCCCGCCTTACCACCTAATTGATTTTTAGAAAACCGTCGTTAAGCGAATCATCGTAAAGCGAGCCGTTCTATTTCCTATTTCTCAAGGTAAAAATTTAATATTACGTTCCAATTATGTAATACCAGAAATAATATGTTCAAAAGTCACAACAGAAAATTTATATCAATCATAATAAAATTGTAAGGTTATACAGTAGAACCTCGATTATCCGACCTAATTGGGGACTGGGGTTGGTCGGATAATTGAAAAGTCGGATAACCGAAAAGTATGAAAAAATCCATTATTAGTGTAGTATATTATTATATCCCATGTAATTAGTATATTAGTATATCGCTATTAACCTACTTCGCGTTGAATTTTCCTCCCTGTTAAGCCTATCAAATTTAAAAAAATAATAATAATCGTCGCTATTGTATCGTTAAAAATTAGAAAATTAAGCCTCGTTTAAATACTGGCTCCCTTTCATGGTCGAATGAGTGTTGCCAGCTAAAACACGTAAAAATAATATTAAAGTAGCCAAGACATAGCCAAATATTGTAGCACCACATCACTCGCGGACATTTGAAATTTGCCGACTAGGACGGTCGGTTAACCGGGGTGTCGGTTAATCGGGGGTCGGATAATCGAGGTTCTACTGTAATTATGTCAGCCATAATTATAATCGATATATAGTAGGTAGAGTTTTTGAGTTTTACGAGTTTTCTTCACGTGTCTCGCACCTAAATTGGAACCAGTTTTCAATAGAAAGCCCTGCCGAGTGCCACCCCTTTGGCAAATTTGGCCCATGTGTTGTGTTGTATATCTCGTCGTAAAGCGAAGGATTATATTAAATTTTATTTTCAACATTTTCACATTTTTAAGTCTATTAAAATAAGCTGATTTTAAATGTATATTTATTAATATACTTAAAGATTAAAGTTATTTCCGTAAACATTTACGAAAATTTACCATAAAAGTATTTATTTACTATCTATCGATGATGATGATTAACATTCGAATTAATTAATTTAAATCGTTAGAAAAATTTTGAATATCGACGAAAGAAATTCTAAAGAATACGATAAGAAGGTAAAATTTAATGTCTTTATAAGAAATTCATATAATTATATAAACTTTACAGTAAATGTTATAATAACATGAAGGGTGGTCTAAAAGTCAGTTAACAAAGTCTTTTGCCAGAAAATTCTGTGGAATTATGTTGAAACATCGTAATTTATGTATTGAAGAAGAAAGGTTTCGAATAATTTTCTGTAAAACTTGTAAGCGATAAAGTATTAGGAGAATGTGACAGAAATTTAGACCTTATGATCGTTAACTGACTTTTGAGCCACCCTGTATACATGTTGTACGAAATTCTAAAATGTTTTCTGATAAATGGCAAAACGTCACAATAAAATTCTACAAAAAAAAAATCTCAACTTTTTTAAAAAGAAAAAAAAATTAATCATAATTCATAAAATAACTGCTTCAGTAGATCACTCAAACAACTATTTATACATACAACGTCGTACAGAAGCAAAAATGTTTATTAAACTAACGTGTAAATGTGTATAAATAAGATAAAATAAAAAAATAAAGACTTTCGTCAGTTTGCCATTTAAAATTCGAACACTTTACAAAAGCTAACGGAAAATAGAACAAAAAACATTGGAACGCCAAACAAGATTTTAAATATAAAAAAATAAAATATTTACAATTTCTTACACTGAATGTAACAAATTGTTATGACCTAACGTGTCCAGGTCTTTATAGTTGACAGTCTTTCCCTTATAGACTTCAACTGACCCTTGAACCCATGTTATTTATCTCCCGCCACCTCTCCCAGAGCTTCTCATTATTCTCATTACTTACAGTGGTCTTCACTATACAACAATCGTAATTACTCTTAGCATTTTCACTTTGAACCGTACCCATAACATTCTGTCATTTACACACTCGTAGTCTCTCCAATACCCTTTCAAACACCTAAACCAGCATTTGCCCCTTTCTTCTCGTGCACTCCAGACTAAAAATTTAATAAAATTAAACATAAGCTTTAACAATATCTATTTTTTATTACACAAAATTAAGATATCAACCCATTTCTAAAATTCCAAAAAACGAATTTTCTTGTGACCAAATCGGCCACGAAATTAACCACTAATAATTAGTGGAGGTTTCGCGCCTCACTAACGGAATGGCCATGTGAAATTTTCCAAGTTTTCATCATGTCTAACACTTAAATAGGGCCAGTTTTTCTTAGAAAGTCCTTCCTTCCAAGAGAAACCCGTCTTGGCTGATGACCCACGTGTTGCTTTACCGTATTCCATCAAATCAAAGCAAGTTAACGTTATTCCATCATTCCTAATCTTCCAAATTAAATTCAAAGCATTAATAGATATATTATTTCTATAATATTTGAATTTTTTATACAATTCCTTAATTTATCATTAATTTATTAATGTAATTAAATCTTTACAGAAAGACCAAAGAGTTAAAGCGAAGAATATTCTCCGAGATTAAAAAAAACCAAAACTTTCGATATTACTATAATTGGCGCAAGTCTTTCTTCAGGACCATGTTTTATTACAGTCCAAGAAACGATCGCACAATTCAAAATATGATCCCCTCATCTAATGCCAATAGTTCGAGAGAACCTCAAAACGTAACATCTGAATCAATAAACGACAATCCTTGCAACAATTTTTATGACGCTTATTCGGTAAATTATGGATTACACTCGGGCGTCTATCCTCAGTATCCAAATTTTTGTCCCGTAATTACACCCGAAGGTACTATCAGAATTCATCTCGACCACTATATTCAAGTTGATATTACTGTTGACAAAGCAGTTCGCGTGGTAAATGTTCCGGGTAGATGTGTGGCAGCCATCGATCACTCTGGTGATAACAGTTGCATCCTTCATCCATTTGGTAACATCTTACAAGAAGGAATAATCATCAACGTGGATTTATGGAATCGTATAGCGAAGTTTTCAAACCGTGGAATTACTTTTACATCTTTAGAGCATAGTCTCGTGTATTTAGTAGATGATTCCGGAACAAAATCTACAGTAGAATACTTTCGTCATTTGGATTACGATTTATCTTCTGATGTCTTTTATACAAATTCCAAGTGTGGTACAGAAGCAATAAATAGTTGTGTCCTCGAAATTAAAAATTCCATTCATCAATACCAGACAAATGGTGATCAGATGTGGATCATTGCCGATATTTGTATTCAACAAAATATATTGGGAGACGTTTTCGTAATGCGTGATTTTGGTAGACGATTCATATATACTTCACCTTCGTTGGGTACATTATCCATGTTAACACCTTTCGTTTACGTAAATGTTGGATATAATCCAGAGGAACATATCTTTGTGCAGAAGGGTAAGAAGAATTTGAGGTCTTGCATAAGACATTTCAAAGTGAGAAATGGAACGCAAAGAGCTGGATTTGATCGCAAGGGAAAATTAATTCTTAACTGATTTGGATTATTATTCACGATGGTATCTAAATAAAAAAAAAATTATTATTTACGAATATACAAAATTGACGATTTGTCATGACAGTATACTTCAGTTTTAATTGTTTTTTTTTAAATAAAAGTGTTGGAATATACTAAAAATATTTCGATTTTGATGTACAGTATTTAATATAGTACACTACAAATTACAGTAAAAGTAAACAAGTTTAAATAATTACATAGAAAATCTAAAGAATCTTACATTAACTTACAAAGATTACTACACTTATGTAGATTACCCATCGATTTTGATGAATTTTGGCACAAAGGTAGTGTTTGATACGATAATGCAATTCCCAAAACCGTTTCATTCTATGGACCGTAATGAATGAGTTATCGAGGTTAGAAAGTTAAGGTATCCATCCTCGTAATCTTCTGCCATTGACTAGTTTGTAGAGGTACCGCTCTATCAAGTCATTTTTGGCGTTTAAAAATTTATTTAAATACGGTTGATATTGAACTACTCTCTCTCCAAATATTAATTGTGCTGGTATTTTAATAAGTGATACAATATAACGGCGTGGATAAAAACACGCCATCGATCTTCTCTTGCTGCTCCTCTCTTAGGCACATCAGCGCTCACGTGTCCAAATTACTATATTACTCGTCGACCATAAGTACTTTCACATTCAATTAGTTATAACTGGCTCATTATGGCCATAGAATGAAACGATTTGCGTGAGTATATTATCGTATCAAACACTAGCTTTGTGCCAAAATTTATCAAAATCGGCGGGGCACATAAGTGTAGCACTCCTTGTTAATGTAATAGTTCTCAATCGGTATGATTCGTAGAGTGTGCCTGTCGTTTCGGTGGACCCGGAAAGGAATCCAGAAGAGTCACAAACCCCCGGGAATATATCTTGCCCCTATCCGTTCCCGAGTCCCTCAGAGCGGTAGACACGCTAGTATTGTAGCATCCAAATGCCGAAAATATTGAGAACCGCTACAGTAAATTAATGCAAGATTCTTTAGATTTTTTACGTAATTTTCACATTTAATAATTTTTTTACAATAAAAAATTAAATTGAAATTATAAAAATGCTTTCTAAAGTTTTCCTATTTCGTGCCCATTACGGATTCGGTCAAGCTCACAAATAAATCTGCCGATCGATAAGAAAAGGAACCTGATAATTCGGGTCAAACCATTCATTAAAATCTCTAAGGCTCGATCGAACTCGAACCCGAATTCCCATAACTGCACGTTAAAGTCGTTGCCGAATTCATTAACGTTAGATCTCTTCGATTTTTATTACGTAAATTTGACGTCATTATTAATAATTTCTTATTGTCAAATTGAAGAAATGACGTCAAATTGACGTAACAATATGAATAATCTCAATTAAATAAGCATTATTATAATTAAACTTAAATTATTTTATTTAATGTTAATACAAAAATATTTTAAAATAAATAATTAAATTAAACATTATAATTATCTACTTTTTTAAAAATAAATAAATAAAAATTTTCGCTATTGTTGGAATATCCGATAACAATAGAGGGCGTTGAGCGGATCGAGGAGAGGAAGTGAATTACAATGTAACCGAAGTTTTAATTTTAGTTATTTTAGTTAAATTAAAGAATAAAAATGAGTGCCAGTAATACAGAAAACAAACCTCAACAGAGTAGTTATACAGTTAGTGCACAGACGCAGCTTCCATGGGGTGCAAGGAAAGAAAGGCAGCCATTTCCTTCAGGAATAAACATAGATACAGAAGTTAAACCTGGAGAATTTGTTTTAAGGACTCTTTTTGCCGAATTTACAGTCCAGGCCGAAAAGAAAATCGATCTAGTTCTTGCTGAGCAACTAGAGAGGCCATTGTCCAAATCCCTACAGAGAGGAGAGGATCCCCTCTTCGACCAACTTCTCAGTGCATTTGGTTCCGCTTCCGAACACTGTCTACCTTCTCTGTTGAGAACTCTCTTTGCCTGGTATGACAGACAGGGTATCGACTCGAGCAACCAGGAGCAGAAGCTTCGTTCCGACTCCAAATCTAAAGGAGAAATGATGGAGAGAACGGAAAGAGATTATCTACACGAACGGAGAGACTTGGCTGTCGAGTTTATATTCTGTTTGGTTTTGATAGAAGTTTTGAAACAGTTGCCCGTTCATCCGGGTCATGACGATTTAGTAAATCACATTGAAAACTTAGCATTTAAGCACTTTAAATTTAGAGAAGGGGCACAGACCGGTCCTAATGTACAAAATGTCAACATTATTGCGGATTTATACGCTGAAGTGATCGGAGTCCTCGCTCAGTCCAGATTTCAGTCGGTCAGGAAACGTTTTATGGCCGAATTAAAAGAACTGAGAAATAAAGAACCCAGCCCGATTATCACTCATAGTACCATTAGTTTATTAATGGGTATGAAATTTTTTAGAGTTAAAATGGTTCCTATTGAAGAATTTGAAGCATCTTTCCAGTTCATGCAAGAATGTGCAACATACTTCTTAGAAGTTAAAGATAAGGATATTAAACATGCATTAGCTGGACTTTTTGTAGAAATATTAGTTCCTGTTGCAGCTACGGTCAAGAACGAAGTGAATGTCCCTTGTTTAAAGACCTTTGTTGAAATGTTGTATTCACAGACTTTGGATCTGTGCACAAAGAAAAAACATAGTTTGGCTTTGTTCCCACTTGTTACATGCTTATTGTGTGTCAGTCAAAAATCATTTTTTCTTCAGAACTGGCATTACTTCTTAGCTATGTGTCTGTCTCATTTAAAAAATAGAGATCCAAAGATGTGCAGAGTGGCTTTGGAATCTTTATATCGCCTGTTGTGGGTTTACATGATTCGTATCAAATGCGAGAGCAACACGGCCACTCAGAGTAGATTGCAGAGTATTGTTAACTCTCTGTTTCCCAAAGGATCCAAAGCTGTTGTTCCGAGGGACACGCCATTAAATATATTTGTAAAAATTATCCAATTTATTGCTCAAGAAAGACTTGATTTTGCAATGAAAGAAATTGTTTTTGATCTGTTATCAGTAGGACGTCCCATCAAAATTATTCTAACGCCAGAAAGAATGAGTATTGGTTTAAGAGCTTTTCTTGTTGTTGCTGATAGTCTTCAACAAAAAGAAGGTGATCCTCCTATGCCTCGAACTGTGGGTGTGCTGCCGTCTGGAAATACTCTCCGTGTCAAAAAAACATTTTTAAATAAAATGTTAACTGAAGAAACAGCAAGAACAATTGGTATGTCCCAATATTATGTATATGTTAGGAAAGCATTTGATGATATATTAAAAGCACTTGATGTTCAGTTTGGACGACCACTAATGATGACGACTGTGCAAAACATAAATAAAGAACCTGACGATATGATTACTGGTGAGCGTAAACCAAAAATAGATTTATTCCGTACGTGTGTTGCTGCAATTCCTCGTCTCATTCCTGATGGAATGAGTCGTCAAGATTTGGTCGATTTGTTATCTCGTCTAACTGTTCACATGGACGAGGAATTGAGAGGTTTAGCATTCCAATCACTTCAGAACACAACACTAGATTTCCCTGAATGGAGAGAAGATGTAATACATGGATTTTTACAATTTATGTTGCGTGAAGTAAATGATACATTTCCGCAGTTGTTAGACAATGCATTAAGGATGCTACTACAATTTCTTACAAATTGGAAAAATGCTCTTCAAAATCCATCTCATAATTCACTGAAGAAAGAATCTCGTGAACAAGGAAAACTTGAATATTCAATAAATGTGTTGAGGTTAGTTGAAGCCATTGCACTTGTAATTTTGTGTAGTTGTCGTCTTCCACCTAGACGTTTATCAATTCACATTTTAAAAGAGGCCAAATTAGTTCTGAAATATATTGCATCAGCCAAAGATATTGAAGAACCAGTTATTGATGTCATAGATCGTGCCTGTCCAAATATTGTTAATAAATGCTTACCATATCTTCCACCTGGAGAAAAGGCTGCAATAGCATCCGCATCTAATATTGATCTCCAATGGCTTGCAGAGAGAAGTAGTGCTGCTTGGACATCAGGATTTCATGAAACATGTGAAGGCACGACTAAAGTTGTTGGCAGTTGTTCAGAAATTTCTGATGGATCAGCTGTAGATGCATGGTGTGTTTGTTTAATGGGATTTCTTGATAGTGAATGCGTATTGAAACACTGTCCCACAGCAGTTGCACAGTCATGGCCTATAGTATATTCCCGAATTACAACTCTTTTTAACTATCTTGACTTAAATCCAGTGAATGATAATCGAGCTTCGCTCTTAAGACCAACAGCAGTAAAGAAAGCACCCAATGAAAGAGATCTCCATCTTAGTTTATGGCGCAACTATTTAATGTTTGCTTGTCGAGTTGCACCTCCAAATTCAGTCATTTCAATTCGTTACATATCTCCCGAATTAAGTTTAAGTTCTTCTCCAGATAGTATTAGTTCTGATCGATCAGATAGTCGATCTCCAAATAGTGGAGGTGTTCATGCCTGTAATCTATTTAAACAGATTGTACCACTTTTAAGAAGTGAACAAGCAGATCTTAGAGACTCGGTTGTGATTGGTCTATCTCATGTTAATCCACAAGCCATTAAAGATCTAATGGAAGAGCTAGTTGTTTATATTAGAGAGGCAATAGATAGGAAACAAGAAAACATGAGAAGACGAAGAAGAAGAGATGTTTTGAGAGTTCAATTAGCTAGAGTTTTAGAGCTTATAGCTAAGCAAGGTACTTTTGGCATTAGTCCAAGTGTTTTAGATCGTGATGCTAGTTCCCTTAACACTACATTTGTAGAATACATTGATGGAGCCCGATTATATTTAGAAACTGAAAATGACAAAGATGTTCCTAGTATTGTACAGGAAATCAAGCAACATTTTTGTGAATTTATACATTCTCTGATAAAAAGTTTTCCATTAGAATCTCGTTATAATCTTCTGGGAAGAGATTTACGAAGAAATCTCTTTTATCTCTTTGCAAGTTGGAGTGGGAAATTTGGATCTCATTTTGATGTTGTTGATAGAAAATCTATAAAAGAAGAGCCATGTTCTGATTTTGAATTTTCTGCTCTTCAAGCTATGTCGGCTACATTATGTTGTGGTCCTTCCTTTGATCCGCTTGGATTGATCGAAGAAAGTTCTATGTATTCATGGCTAAATAGTCTTTTAAGTTGTCCCGAAGAAAAAATATATAGATTAGGACAGGAAACTGTTGTTCTTTTATTAGAATTCAATCCAGATGTAGGCTCTCTCTTAGATTGGTTAGTTGACTGTTGTTATACGGGAGAAATCCAGATGGCCGATGGCTGTTTTAATGCATTGGCAACAATTTTCAGTATCAGAGAATATCCATGTGATCATTATATGGCAATTATAAATGTAACTTTATTAAATGCAGGTTGTCCAAGAGCAAATATACAAGAAACTGCACTTCAGTTACTTCAAGTTCTAGATCATAGATTCTTTGGAAATGTTGCTTCTCTTCAGATTGATTCTGAAGGTGATCAGGGTAGTATGGTTGTATTGAGGAAAAAAATGTCTGGAATGCCTGAAAATGTTTTAATTTCAGGTTATCCATGCTCACAAATACAGTTATCTCAACAAATGTCACAACTTCATCCGGAACTCACGATGCCTATATTTTCAGAAATTACAAACCGCTTACAGACTGCAAGACCTTCTGTCAGACAGAATCTTTTGCAGTATCTTTTACCTTGGCTTCATAATATGGAACTCGTTGATCCTAATATAACTCAGATTAATCCACTCACCCATCTTGGACGAATTCAGGAATTCTGTGGAGAAGATACGTGTCCTCCCGCACAGTTAGAAAGACGGGAAGGATGGGGTTCGGCTGAAGCTACCGAAATGGTTTTGAATAATCTTTTTTATATAACTGTTAAATTTGGAGAAGAAAATCCAAAAGAAATAGAGCAGCTGTGGGCATCTCTTTGCAGCTGCTGGCCAAATAATTTGAAAGTTATCATTAGATATTTATTCATAATCACTGGTCTTGCACCAAATGAATTACTTACCTATGCCAAAAGAGTAGTATTATATATGGCACGATCGTGTCCAGAACGTCTGCTTGACGAAATGATGGCAGATATGCAAACTGTCGAAACTCTTAATTGTCTCATTGAACGAACTGAGACTCCACCTTTCTTCAGGGTTACTAGTGTTAGAAAAGGTAGTAGCCATTCAGATGACGGTGGTTCAAACAGTACTCATACTGATGCTCCACGAGGAGAACTAACTTTAGAAAGAGGAACTTTGCACACAAAACGTCATAGCACAGAAAGTGGATGTGAAAAAGACAGCCAGATTAAGGATGATAGTAGTGGTCAAGGATCACTTCAAAGCACTCCAAGTATTGCAAGTCTAAATAAAGGACAAAATCCATCTTTAACGAATAGTGAAGAAGGGCAGCATACAGTATCAGCATCAGTTGAAGAAGATAATTTCATTCTTCTATGTCAGGTTCCTGAAGAAGACCAAAATAAACCTGAAACTCCACAACCTCATCCTTTACCAATGCCAGAATTTGGTGGTTATTATGCACCACTTACAGAATTTCTTCCAGACAGTTCTCAACCAGTAACAGGATTTCATAGATGTAATTTAGCAGTTATGTTACTTGCTGATGTTGTTTTAGATGGGATTAATATTGATTGGTCTCCTCACGTTCCTTTAATGTTGCACATTATTTTTCTAGGATTAGATCACACAAGATCTTTAGTACATGAACATTGTAAGAAACTACTGTTAAATTTGTTGATAATCATAACACATCATAGTGATAATTTAACTGTTGCAAAAATTATTTTAAATAATAAAATGCAACAGATGGGATATGGTCTTCCACCTCTATATCTAACAGTTCAAAAGAACTTCACAGACATTCAAAAATTGCCAAAAAGTTCTAGTGTTAACAGTTATGTAAGTACTGTTACTGTGACTGAAATGAATGCACCAGTAGCACACGATGACAATTGCTCGGGTGATACAACAAAGGAAAATAAAACCGAATCAAAGTCGGAATTAACAAGCAATCATAATGTTACAGTTGCAGAAAACATTAATTCTCTCATTGACTTTATTGCATCAAAAATGGGACATCCTCTTTGGAGTTACGAAGATATTACAGCAAAAGTTTGGGTGGTACGAAGTGCTGAGCAACTGTCATCCTTCTTGCAACATGTTCTCTTTGTATTCAAAGAATCGATTCCACTGGCTCACATACAAGATCGTTGGGCTCAAGTAGCTTTACAGTTAGCTCTTTCTTGTTCTTCTCGGCATTACGCAGGGCGTTCGTTGCAAATATTTCGTGCTTTGAAGGTACCTCTTACTGCCAGAATGCTTTCGGACATTTTATCACGATTGGTAGAAACTGTAACTGAGCAGGGTGAAGATATGCAAGGTTATGTTACAGAATTAATGCTTACTCTTGAAGCTTCAATAGATTCTCTTGATGCAGCATTTAGAATAAGTGATTTTATGCGAGAATTTTTCAAATCTACACCAAATCTGAACAAAGAAAGTAATAGAAAAAGTGCACCACCAATTACAATCACACAACCAGCTGCAAGTTTAGGTGTATTTACAGGTGGTTCTGGCCATGTACGTAGTACATCCTACTCTATTTCTTATCCTGGGAGAAAGATACCTGATTCTCCGACTAGCGAGGGACGTGACGTAAGACATCGTAGTAATACTGATATAGATTCTCGCATGAAAGGACACAATTTAGGACGCTCACGCAGTGCTCAGTCTTTAAAAATGGCAGATGAGCAATATTCTCAAGAAGATAAAATGGCATTGTTAGCTCAGTTCTTTTGGATTGCTGTATCCCTCCTTGAATCTGATTATGAACATGAATTCTTACTGGCGATTAGACTTCTTGAGAAAGTTTTAACTAAATTACCCATAGAGCGTACTGATTGCCAAGAAAAATTAGAAAAAATTCAGTTTCAAATGAAATGGTCTAATTTTCCTGGAGTACATGCTCTCCTTCTTAAAGGATGTACATCACCAACTACTTTTGAATCAACTATTGATCTTTTATCACGATTAATACCTTTACTTGACATTCCTGTCATAGATCCTTCAGAATCATTAAGTTTTCCATTTAATGTGATGGCGTTACTTCCATATTTCCTGCATAATTATGATGATCCAAATGTATCTTGTGTGAAAAGTGCAGAAAGTATTGCTCAGGTTTGCATGGAAAAATCCAAGAAGCTAGAAAATCTAGCCACTGTGATGACACTATATAGTCGAAGATCTTTCAGCAAAGAAAGTTTTCAATGGACAAAATGCGTAGTTAAGTATTTATACGATGCATATTCACATGTATTTTTAAATTTAATTTCATTTTTAGTTGAAATATTGGAAAAAGGACCAACCTATCTGTTACAACACATTTTAGGAATCCTACATTGTATGCTTCATTATCTAGATGTTGCTTCATCTGCCCAAGCTATTAATACAGATCTTTTGAGAGTCATTTCGAGATATATTGAGACATCTCAGTGGAAAGATGCTTTAAAGATATTGAAACTGATTGTTACACGTTCCTCCACATTGGCCGCACCACCTGCATCGATGAGCATTGGCAGTTCTTCGGCAGATAGTGTGAGCATTGCATCAAGTACATCTTTTGCGGATTCAGAATTTGGAACAAAAAGAGAATTACCAGGTCGTACTATGGAATTCACCATTGATTTGACACTAACTCCAGTAGTTGGGCAAAGATTTCAACAAAAAATGTCAAATAAAGATTCGAATGTTACAACAGAGAAAGAAGAAAGTACAACAGCATCTCCGAGGAGAAGTTTATCACATAATCACTCATTTACTGAGAATGGCTCAGCTTCAAGTTGGAGACGTCCTTGGCTATCGCAAACCAGAACAAGAGAACATTTGATTGGTTTGTTAACAAGCTGTGGTCAACGTGTGGGCTTGCCTAAGAGTCCATCTGTAATATTTAGCCAAAGTAGTGATATTATAGAACACCAATCATCTATGTGCAGTAGTACTGAAGAAATTTCAGCTACAAATAATGACATGTCTGCTGACAGTAAATTAGAAGATACTATTCATCCTGAACAGCAATTTGGAATATTTAAAGATTTTGATTTTCTTGAATATGAATTAGAAAGTCAAGAAGGTGAAAGTCTAGATAACTTTAATTGGGGTGTACGCAGACGTTCTCTCACTAATTTTGAAGGATCTGAAGAAACTACAAGACAGAAAATAGGACTTGCAGTTGGAGGTTCAAATTTAAGTCCTCGTAAAGAAGAATCATCTGATGACGAAATGGGAAGTGTGTCTCCTCTTGATGACAATCCAGAATTACCGAGTGGAAACGTTAGTCTTGTATTTCCTCCAAGCTCACTACCACTGTTAAACCGTGGAAGAAGATCATCAAGTCCAGCATCTGCTTCTACTCATAGTCTTGCTAGTGATGGAGATCTTACTCTAAGTAATACATCTCCAAGCTTTTCACCATTGGCAGCTGTCGTTCATCTAGCTCCAGTTTCATTGGACGATGTCGAAGATATTTGGCGATCGCACATTCACAGTTTGATGAATGATTCTACTGGAATTCTTGCTACAAACACATACCAGATTCTAACACGACTTTTTAAAGATACGTTTCGCAAAACTGCAAGACTGACAAGAGAATGTTGCCAGTTTTTTACAATGACTGATTCTCTAAGAAAGATTGCTTCTCATTTCTTAACTATGTTGGATGTTCTGCTGACCCAGGCTGAATGTCCATTTATTTATATAGATCCAGAAGTTATAGTATCTTTCCAATTGTTAGAAAAGCATAAATTCTGTGTTCTAGAAATTCAAGAGCATTGGGAAACTTTTCTTGAAAAACAGGAACATACCATTGAATGTATGGACAGTATTAAATCTTTAATGAAATTAGAAGCTTTGGGCGAACCCGTTGCAGAGGAAACTGTTGAAGAGCAAAGAGTAGATCTTTGTCGTTGCTTATACAAGCTTCACTTTCAACTTTTGTTGTTACTAGAAAGCTATACAAAACTATTATCATTTTTAAATGCCATTTCTTCTCATTCCCAAGTATTTGATTTATCGCACGAAGTAACGGCTATAAAATTAGAACTGATAAAAGCAGTCGAAGAAACCGAAAGCGATCGTCTTTCTCCGTCATCCCAATTAGAAGTCTCCCGCCACGATGTGGAGAATGTACTTCTAGAATTAATTCAAGGAAGCAAATGGGGAAAGGTCATTAAGCATTTACATAGTTACCGATCTATGATACCTGGATCGATCCTTGGAAACAGTGAAGAAGACGATATAGAAGTCATTCTTGGAATTTATTGCAGACATATCTGTGAAAATAGAACAGGTTATTTTATTGTCACACAAGCGGAATATAATTTATGTAACGTCTGTCAACAACTGATGGACATAAGTTTGCAAGTCTCTTCTATTCTCCACACACTAGAATTTTCATCCACACCCGAGAGAAGTCAGTCCGAAACTGGTTTTCATAGAAGCGAATGCTAGAATATACCGTAGATGAGTATAATTTTTAAATACTCTCAGATATAATTTTTAGTAGTAAATAAATTTTACATCAGGGTCGATTACATTCTAATTTATTTTCAAGTATTTTTTCTCTTGTGTAAAATGACGGCAGGACAACATAGGATTAAATTTACTATTTTTAGATTGAATTAAATATTTTTAGAAACTTTATATGTTCAATATGATATAGAGATGATAATAAGAAATATCAAATTGTTATATTAAATATCATGTACTATGAATTAACAAAATCTATAAGCTGTAGGCGTAGATACCAGGACACGATCATTCTTATTTATCAAATGAATAAGGACATTTGATCTAGAGATAGCAAATTAATCGATTAAATTCTTGATTGCAGCTTATGGATTTTGAGCAATTTACCTTAATCCCACAGACAGGTACATTGTTTTTTCTCTATTTTGTAATTAAAAACCGAGAATAAATATTCAGTCGTTTTGTATAAATAGCAAAAGAATTATTCTTCGTCAATATCCAGTAGATGTTAAGACTAGTATGGTGTTAATACACATCACAATCAATGTATGTTAGTGTAAATAGATGAGTGTAACTTTAAGTTGATGTCATAATGTAAATTTTCTATCTTTCTTAATTGCATTTAGAAATTTTATAACCACACCTTTTTGTGCAGAAGAACGTTTGTATGAAAATGAAGTTTTATACCTTGAAAATGGTTTATGAATGATATATTTTATAAGAGTTTCTATCAATCACTGTTTTGAATTCCTTTCGGGGTTGCGTTAAAACCACAATTTGACAGCACGCGTAATAATAGAAAGAACAGACAATCATGGTATTCAGCCTGTTGGTTTTATTGTTCTGGTACCTCATTTTTATTGTTTTACTTCATTAGCCAGAAACCTTAGGTAATTTTCATTGGCATGTATTTATAGCCAAATTATCCAATTAAGTATCATCATTAATTCTAAAATACAGGATGATCCTGAAGTCCATGTGCAGTTTCGTACTTCAATAACTAATGATACATATATGTTAAAACTATGCAGTAAATAATGTTTGAGAGCCTTATTCTAGTCTTTTATGTAATAATTTTATGACTTTAGAATCTACTTTACTTACAGATTCCATTAATGATTGTCACCATTCATTATGACATACTTTCTACTAACAAGTGTTATTGACTTTAATTCTACAAGTTAAAGCCTACAAGTTATTTTCTGTACTGTAAAGGGATTCTGTAAATAAAATAAAATAGTTCTGCAATGATAAAATTATTATATAAAAGACATTAAAAGTGAGGCTCTCGGATATTATTTACTGTGTAGTTCTTTAGTTATTGAAGTATAAAACTATACACGGAATCGTTCTGTGTGATACAAAGTTTTATTTATTTATGTTGTGTGTTAGAATAGTATTAGCTTGCTTTTTTCATTTTATTTTTTGTGGGCATTTATGACATGGGAAAAAATTACCTCAGATTTGTACAAAATAAAGAATTATGTTAATATCTATATTATTTTCTATATTTTATTTGTTATACAGTATTAAATTTAATTTATCCGATACCTTTCCGACAGGTTTGTTGTTTCGACGGCATTTAAGCCAGTCCCTTTCTTTCTTTCTCGAAATAATAGTTTCGTATCTATGATTCTTGGTACGTGTTCGCATTCTCGAGCGAAAAGTATTGCAGAGTTTTGGATAATATTGATTTATGTGCATTCCCAAGAGGAGTTATTAATCATAATAATTAAAAATTTAACATTAAATATATATATTTTTAAAAAATGAATATTTATCTGTTAATATATTCAGTTTAAAAGTCACTTGATGATTCAAGAGCAATAAGTAAATTATTATTATTATTATTAAAAACATTAAAAAAAATCTTCATATGAAATGATGTTAAAAGATTTTAATATCTTTGTAATCTGATTGTTGAAAGATCCATTCCAATATTAGGGCCTAAGTGATTTTTTTGTGTATTTGAATGCTATATAAATAAAAAAATAAATAAAGAATTTACTTGTTTGTTGTTTTCTTTCAAGTTGATTTAATGTCATTTGAAATTCTAGCTAATAAAACTTCACCTACAGACAATACCTAGCTCAATATTCAATTAACCAAAGACCTAAACCTGGATTCTTTAATGGATTAGCATGGTTAAAGCTTTAAATCTTTGACTAGTTGCTCACAACATTAAACAATAGAAATCTTAATAAAAATTACACTGTCTAAACTCAATTTTTAGTACCCTGAAGATTGAACTGTTATAGAGGGACTTTTGTAACCAGCAACAATAGGGCAACATCAAAAAAAAATTGCTTTGGGGCCTATGAAGACTAAATTAGTTTCATAGATCTGCCACTGTAAATTAATTAGGTTTTAGTTAAGAATTTAGAAAATGGAAAAGCTATAACCTTTCTATATATGTATTGTAACCTTTGACAAGAAAGATCCATTGCACCTCCTGGAGAAATTATTTCAGAAGTTCTACACCTTTAAAGAAAGGAAGCAAACCTCTAAAGAAAACCTGAAAGCCATTCAAGGCTCAAAATGGAAAAGCTCAGATGAATGAGCCTATCCAAGCAAAAATCTACATGTGCAAATGACATGTATAGAAGTCTTGAGACTGAAAAACAGCAAAAGGCTGGAGGAGGAACATTTCAGGCTGCACAAATGTTTATAAAAGTGACCAAAAAGCAAATAGGATTCTTGCAAAAAGGTAGAAAGATTATACAGTAGTTCATACAGAGCAAGCTAGGCAAAAACTTGTTACTCTGCCATAGTGCCATAACTAGGATGGTGCCCAGGCACAGTGCAGATTCTGGGGGGGTGCATAAATGACCTGGACCAAGTTTTGGAGTGTAATTACAGAAGCTTGCACTGGGCACATAAAATGCTAGTTATGGTGCTGCTCTGCCATAGTCTGTAAAAAATTGCAGAAAATACTGAGCTAATTCGTACTCTGAAAAGAAGTACGAAGCTCACTTCTTGGCCATTAAATCATCATTTATTGCTGGAAATTTCATGTCCTAGCAGCCCACCAGTGGCGTTTACCATGTTGTCTTTACGTTTGTAATACCTTGTAGGGCAGAGGGCGCCACCGCGTGACCTTTGCCCTCTGACCTCACTTTGCTCCTGTACTCCAACGAGGAGAGAGAGCTTTTCACTTTACGTTAGTTAACCTTTGGAGTCGACAGCTGTGCAGATCTTGGATTTATATCTGGACACTATTGTAAACATCGCGAGGCCGATTAAAATAAAATAAATTATTCGCCTGGATCAGTTTCTCAGTCAGTCTTTGCCGACGAACACAGAACACGTGGTCGAGGTCAACGTGGACATCACGGACAAAGTAGGACGCAACCCAGACCAATTCCGCCTAGTATCGAAACGTGCCGCGTACGGACTTTAGCCACGCCGTTAAAACCTAAATAGGGGCCAGTTTTATAAGATTGTAGATGGGACGTTAACAGCTGTAGACTGTGCCCATAGGAGCAAAGTCAAAGGAATTATACATGAGACCCTTCCCGATAATCAGCCTACTTCTGGGTGCAACCGGCAATCATGCTGCCGCTCCGCTAAGCTTATCGAGTGTTTGACAGACAGCGCAACACGGTTATCAGATATTTATCGGTAAGGAATAGAGCAAAGTCCTCCAAATGTGGAACCAAAGTGGCGGCAGTTCCGGTCGCCAACTTGCTTGCAAACAAACGTCTGCAAGCAAGTTATGTTGTAGGCACGGTAACCAGTAGAAGTATGATTCCTTTGACTTTTTTTGCTCCTATGGATATGGTCTACAACTCTGTTATGGTCCCAATGGTGTCATTCACATCTGCAATTGTGCCGCCAAACCCGGTCCTCCCGGAAGGCATGCCACTCAGCAAATCGCCCACGTGTCACGTTGCCGTAATGAAATAAACCAAACCCCGTGTCCTAGCAAGTGTGCAAATATAAAATCACAAAATTGAGATTGGTTTTTAATTTTAAATCTAAAATTTTGTAAAATGTTTGCAATTATACAGTACAATAGAAAGTTACGATATTTATATAATAATTTAGTATAAAACTCATATTTAAAAAATTGCAAGCATTCCCACGATATACTTGCGGGCTGACAAAGCATTTGCTTATCCTGCTTACAGTGGCTAGAAAATATAGTTTCGAAATCGAGCTTATTTTCTGTCCCTATATTAGAGGTTGCCGCAAGAGGCGCTGCTGTCAATCGTTGTGCTACACTGGCTGTATCATCCTATGTTTATATTGGTTTTAAGTGGGATTTTTAAGCATAGTAAATGTGCTATAGCCAAGTAAAAGAATTTAGATCGATAATAAATCATATCACTAGCAATCAATTATTATATAGTATTACTTTATTAACATTTATGAAGGAATTCATTTTATTAAAGCTAATTAAGATTCTTATTAAATCAAATAGCCTACACTGTATTGTCTATTTTTACATTACAGCTGTTGAGTGCTGTACAAACAAGTATTATTTAGAGTACAAGAGTAATCTACTCTTNTTTATAAAAATATTCGCTTTTATAATACATTAATTTTTTTTTTTCAATTATCTATTTCCTGTACCGTCAGGGTCTTTTGTGTTTACGTTTTTCAAATTTAAACACATCTTTACACGTGGTTTATTGTTATTGTATTAAGTAATTTTAAATTGATTCTTTCTTGTATTGTAATCGTTTTAAAATGGCCACCGATTTTCCAAAACTTATCCTTGTTTTTAGTGGTAAGAGGAAATCTGGAAAAGATTATATTACTAATATTCTACATAAAAGGTAATTTGGTAAAGGTTTTTTTATATTGTTTATAGTGAACACGTGTCAGTCATACAAGCCATAAAAAATGTCAATTACATATGAAGCATTAATTTAGGCAAGATTTGGTGGCATCTTAGACACATCCTAGGATTGTATGCATCCTTAGGGTGTGACTACGCAGACTCAAATTTAGTAGAGAGTGAGAGTTTGTGAGCGATACAGTTCTCACAAAGAAAAACATGCACAAGTGAGAAGCGAGAAATCTCACTGGCATGAGCAAATTTCTGGTTCTCACACATATCTGACAGGGTTTGATATTTATTGTGTCTCGCCACATATTCTCGCTCGCTCAGAAAATTTGCTTAATCACGTCTTCATAGTTGCAGCCTTACACGACCAAATAAATGAAACGGAACTAACTACATATCGGTAGTTCTCGACATTTCTTGTGGACTACAAAACTCACACGCTGTGATGTACCTCGGGCTCTTGCAGAGTTCCACAGCTATGGATCCTTCGCTAGAAATCCTGCATCGAAATCGGCACTGAGCACGCTTATTCAAGATTTTGTTAACGTGAAAGCACAGAAAGTTATTTTAAGAATTATAAGAATAATAAATGCACTTAAAGATTTCTATATTTATTTAAATTATACTTATTTCTAGTTACTGTTACAAATAACCAATTAATGCTAAACATTATAACTATAATAATTCTAGGGTGGCATATAAATTTTGCATAAGGGCCACTGTACGGCACCTTCCTGCCTATTTAGTGCACGAGATTGATGCATAATGCTATTAGTGTAATTAGGGAGTAAGTCTTAGCCCTACTTATTTTTATAAATAAATAAATGTCAAAGGTATAAGTTTAGGGGAAAAAATTGTAATGTGTTAAATATACGTGTCTATATATTATTTCAGAGTTTACATGCCACAGCACCTGGGCCATCGAGAGCTTGTATGGGGTCCAGGTGTAGAGCCAGCTCTCTTTAGACATTTTTTTTTTGAACAAACAAAATACATAGAATTTTTTTTATTGATAAGAAGCAGTCAAAGATTTTATTTTCTGTCAGTAAAAATAACATTAACTTTATAGGACTAGGAACTACTGTGGCCCCTAAGTATTCTCCATGCCTGGGGAAAAAAGCTTCAGTTCCCTTCCCCTCTCAAAGGCCCTGCACGGCACTAGGGGATACATTCATAGTGGTATAGGAATGACTGAAATTTTGCACAAAAGCAATAATTCATCGCTGGTATGGCCGTCATCCAATTATAGATTTTCCATTAAATACAGTGGTTTAATATAAAATATGGTTTATTTGATTTTATACAAAAAAATAACGTATTTAGAGGATAGTGCTTCTTTTAAATTTACTGGAATTTGACGTTAAAAGATTAATGTATTCTGCTAGTTTTATAATAATTACTTTTGTTAAATTAACTTTTGTGATTTATATTCTAATTTGGACCCCCAGTTACTCTACTTGATGTTATACCACAGATAAATTGAAATATTTATTAATATATTTAACTTAAAGATTATATGATTCTTGAAGGAACCTTTAAAAAATTAGTACTAATTTTACATAAGAACAAATCAGAAAGTGTGTAAGGAAAACTCCTGAGTAAGATATCATTTGAAGAGTTGCTCTTCAGCATCTCTTTACAAGATATCCTGCTCCAAAGTTCCATCCAAAAATTCACAATTTCTTTTGATTTTGTTTTGCCTGTATAGGGAGGATTATAATCCTAACAGGATTTCAAAGGAGAAGGATGTCCACTTAAACATCTATCTAGGAGCAAAAGAGATCCTTCCAACATTGCATGAATGTATGCATGCAGTGTGTGCTTGTTCCAGTGCTAAAATACCTGAAGGGAATTGATTTAAAAAAAACTAAAAAAAAAAGAAACTCCAAACAAAAAAAAAAAAAAAAAAAATGCAAAAAATGATACAAAAGTGAGCTTTATTTTATTAGCAAACATACTCAAAACAACCAGTAATACAAAGATATTGATGGTTAAACATGATGCTGTAGATGGCACATAACATTCCTGGTGTCACCATTTTACAGGCTTTTCATATGTCTGACTCCAGTTCATCAACATCGCATGATGTTACTGAATATACATCACACCAATGCTTTAAGATGATTCCAAACAAAAAAATCCAGATGGGGTCATTTGTGTAATTTTTTCTTTAATGAATATCTAATTACAAGTATTTAAAAATTGTTGTAATTTAACGAAAATTGTAAATTTCATTTTTTAAAAAAGTCCGAAGTAATCATTCATTCATTTAATATTTATCATTATTCAAAGTACATGATAAGAAAATGAAAATTATCTAAATTAAATATTTTTCTAGAATATCAGTTACCAATTCATTTATCACAAAGAAATTGAAATCTCTAAACTTTTTTGATTATGAAATTATCAAGAAATTTGTAATTAATTTTTTAAAACTTAAAAAGATGCTGAAAGATATGAAAGTTCCTAAGATTTATTTACATTTCTGATGTATATAGCAGAATAAATCATAGTATTTATAATTAGTTAATAGAAGTTTTCATAACAATGATTATTGTTTTAAAATAGAATCTGTTTGAAATATTCACACCCTTAGAAATTGTTTTCTAAGGGTGTGAATATTCTTTGACACCCTTAGAAAAAATATTGTGGGATTCCCACCCAAACCATCCCTAAAGCCTGAGCAAGCATTAATATAACATTGCAGTTTCATTATTGTAAATACTCAGGTCAATAAATGTACATTTTAGTTATTAATGCCATTGTTTTTATTGCCCTCTCCCAATCCAAACTTACCAATCCCCTACCACTTAAAGCCAAGCAACACCAGATTCACAGCAATTCTTCAACTCCTTAAAAAATACTGTGCAAACAACACAATGTGGTGATTATTTTTATCATTTAATGAGTACAGACTTAAAGAAAGAATTATCATTTAACTATAGGTCGAATTCAGTTAATATCATTTTAATGCAGGGCTGTGGAGTCACGTAAAAATCTACCGACTCCAACTCTGACTCCGACTTTTCCTTACCAATCCGACTCCGACTCCAGCTAAAACTCCAAAACTCCATGACTCCGACTCCACAGCCCTGCCAGGCCTGTAGAGTCGCATAAAAATCTACCGACTCCAACTCCGACTCCGACTTTTCCTTACCATCCGACTCCGACTCCGACTCCGGCTAAAACACCAAAACTCCACGACTCCGACTCCACAGCCCTGTTTTAATGTTATTTTTGAGATGATGTTATATGGTAGAATCATTTAGATATTCAGAGTATATGTTATTGATTAAAAATCAGTCATTACCACAGGCTTGACAAGTACAAGCAAGGACATAACGTTGTGTCTAAAAAATAGGGCAAGTGGATAAAAGAAGTATGGTTTTGGAGAATTATCTGCAGGAGTTATTAACTACCAGTGAGTTACTATTATTGGTTATATGAATAATGTTTTGATATTTTGACTTCAAATGAAAGTCACTCCTTAATATACTGATCAATTGTAATCAACCTGTTGGCTAGTGCTATATAATTAATAAACTGTGTTGCACTCATCACATGATTATAAAAGTGTGTGTCACAAGTGCAAAATGGTTGAAAATCATTTATATGAACAACAAAAAATATTCCATTCCAAAATAGTAATGAAAAAGATGCTTTAATTAAGTTGAAAACTATAAAAGATATATAAGATATAAGCTGTTCTTCAAGTGCTTTTAATTTTCAAAAAATTTGTTGTTGGGAAGATAGCAGCATAATAAATACATTTGAAGAATGCCTTTGCACTTCATGAAGCAAATAATACAGGTTAATCAGGCCATCTTCAGATATAAAAAGTACCGTTTATGGTCAAAAACATTCATGTTTACTCAAGCTGTTACCCACTGTTAAAAGTATATTGTTTATCTCCATGTTATGTTGTTTTTTTTTATTGTATTAATCTCTTTACCAAAGCTTCTTTTTTTTACAATCTTTATATAAACATTAATCTCATTTATTATTGGATTTTTTACTAATATAATTATACAAGGTGATCAAATGAAAAGTTTATTTGTGAGGAGTTTTGTTATCTAGTCTGTAGTAAATAGATGTTCAAAGAGTTTCTTGTGATGTATAGCAGGATAGTAGCAAAGCATAGCTGGTTCATGGCATCACAGGTCTATTCTTTGCAAACAAACTTTTTCATTTAATCACTTATATTTTTGACATGATCTAGTTGGCTCCAACAAAACTAGAAACTTATCAGCAGGATAAGTAAAGTTTAACCTTTCAACAAAAGGAGTGACATCTACAGCTTCATCTGAACTTTTTTTTAAATCTTTACTGGTGCAGTTGTCTAATATGTTTTAAAATATATTCATTTTTTCTTTAAATTTATGCTTACTGACATCCCAAAAACATCACAATTGTTAATATACTAGCAATAATGCAATCTTTTAGGAATCTACTAGCATGATTGCATAAAAATATATTGAATATAAAATGATTCAATGTTTGTTTAAGTATATTTTACCAACATATTTTTCTTATAATAATTTTAATTATTGATTACAGGATTGGAGAGAAAAACTGTGCATTATTAAGGCTTTCTGCACCTTTAAAAGAACAATATGCTAAGGTATTGTATTCATATTAAAATATTAACCTTTAACTTCAGCCAACAAATTGTAGCAGCAGAACCTTTTCAATCTTTTAATGACCATCTTCAGTGCTTCTAAACATCATTTTCTGACACAAACATTAACTAGTATTTTTCGAACAGCACATTCTGGCAATGGAACAATCCTGTGAAATTCAAATACTCCATCTCAAATGTCTTGTTAGAGCTAGCATATTCCAATGGAGGAATAATATATCAAAAAGATTCACGTGGTCCATCATTGATATTAAGATTCGTTGGCTGAAGTTAAAGATTGGTGTTAATATTCTGTATCTTCAGTTTGGACCTGTTGAAATCCCATATCATATTTTTGTATTAAAATAATTACAAATATAATAATATTATTACTTAATTTAGATGATATCATTTAGGTTTTCAGGATGAAATTGAATCTTTAAAATGGGGTATGAAATAAAGATCTCCAGCCATGGGAGAATGTTTCTGCCTCTCTATAATTAATTACCGTGTTTTATGTAATTCAGAAGATTTCATTTAACTTGTCCACACTTATTATCTAATTAAATGTTATTTTCAAGTATACAACTGAAAGAATAAAAGAAAATTATAGCAGCAGCTTATACACAAAATGTCAAAGGGAATTTCTTGTGTATAAAATTACATTCTTAATAGCACAGAATAGTATTTTTTAACAAGATGCCATAAAAAATAAAAATCTATCACCATATGGGAGAAAATTGGACAATCTACATTGGCAAAGTATGCTGTAGTAGCTAGAAAAACATTTACTAGAATAATGTAAACAGTTGATTACATATGAACTCTTGTATTTAAATTGCATTGTACAAGTATCATGTTATACAAGGGTTACCTGTAATTTAGTTACAATCATCCAGTATTTCAGAAGTCACACCTCATTAAACCTCACCTCTGCCCAGTGACAAATTTCATGGGTAAACAAGCATTTGTTTACCTGTGAAATTTGTCACTGGCATCAGTAAATCAGTAAGTCCAGTGTAGAAGTGAAAGAACTATTTCACAAATCATTTAACAATATAAATCAAATGCCAGCAGTGAGAAATAGTTAATAAATTTACTTAATTTTCTTATTCTTACTGAGAAACCTTTATCAGCAAGAGTAAGGTGAAATAGCATTGAAAAAGGGCACTGTAACACAGTACTGTCCATGATAGTGCAAAGATTTCATAATGAAATGGAATGAAGTGATTATCCTTAAAACTCTATATTCTTCCACACTAGCAATGAAAAAATTGAAATTTATATTTTAATAAACAAATGTTTTCAATCATCTTAAATGGCCAGCTTTATGATTAGGTTCCAGAACATAAAACAATTTAGAGAGCTACATAGGCATATAATAGAGTAAAGATAAGCATTTAAATATGAAAATTAACAATAAATGTAAGATGGTTGAAAATGTTTGTTCATTAAAAATTATTGCTGGACTATAAAGGTTTTGAAATCATTTCAAATTTATTTAGTGGAATTGATTTCTTATTTAAACTGATTATTTAGTTAATTTAATGTAAGATCTAAAGATTAATAGAAAAAAATAATTATTTAATTTTTAATATTTTAGGATCACAACCTTGACTATAATCGACTTCTAGATTCTAGTACCTATAAAGAAAATTATAGACTCAGCATGATTAGATGGAGTGATTCTATAAGGGAAAAGGATCCAGGATATTTTTGTCGTCTCTCCATTGCCCAGAATGGAGCAAAAGAAAAGGCAGTTTGGGTTATTTCTGATGCTCGAAGGAAGACAGACTTAGATTTCTTTAAAAAGACTTATCCCGAAGTAACATATCTAGTGCGAATATTTGCATCCGAAACGACGAGAAGATTACGTGGTTGGGAATTTACAAAAGGTAATTTATAATCAACTACCTCTATTTATAGGAAAAAACAATATGAGAGATGCTTTAATAGAGATAAAATCATAACCAAATGATCGCCTTAAATAATTGGGCTGTAACTCTACTAATTTAATGATTAATACTAGGTAATTTGCTACTAGAGGTAGATGTTAGGCACCATCTCTTAACTAAAATCAACAAAAATACAATATGTCCTAATGTTTTCAAACCATGATTTTCGTCCTCAGGAACACTCATTATAAAAGTATGAGTGTCTTAAAGTATTTTTTGTATTGCTTTTTCTCCATAAATTAATTAATGCATTCACATTTTTTAAAATAATTAATGGAATGTTTTATTATATAAATTAATCATAGGAGTGGATGATGTTGCATCAGAATGTGACTTGGACGATGTAGAAAATTGGGATTATATAATTTCTAACAACAGTGACAACAAAGAATTAGAGAAGTGCCTATCATTAATATTTGACAAATTAATTCAACCACTAAATCTGGAAGATAGCTGTGATTCTTGAATTTTGTGGCTCCAGTATTATTGAATGATTTAGTTTATTTTATATTATTTGTACAGTGAAACCTGTGTAAATCAGAATTGCGCAATACCAAATTATTTTTTCTATTTTGAACAGGTTTTAATATTGTATTCTTTAAACTAAACCAGATGAATGTAACACAGTTACATTCATTTTTTATAGTAAAATCAATTTAATGTGTGTAAAACAATTTTGTTACTGGCATAATCCAAAATGATTCCGACTAAAGATGGGAGTATTCAAATCCAAGAATTGAGTACTGTTCAATTGCAAAAAGTTAATGTTATTTTCCTAAATTTGTGCTAAGTATTTAAATACTTTTAGGATGTGATCCTCATGAACTTACACAACAGCAAACAAGCCAATTTGAGTAACAAAAATTAGTGTATTGCTCTGCTGAATTTTAATTACATTACAGGAATACACAGACCCAAATTATTCTGTAATCTGACTTCTCAAAGAATACTCTAAGTAGCCACTTACTTGAATCTCTGTAATTATTAACATACTAATCAACTTGTTTTTGAATACTCAATACTAGTTAGTTAATAACTACTCCATACAAGACAAATTAGCAGTATTGTGCTATCATATTCTCATTTTTTCACAAATTACATCCATTGCTTGTTCTCGAGAACTCTGTTCTTAGAAACTCATTTGATTCCTGAAAGTATTCGATTCTGCCCCTGGTTAATGTCAACAAAGACCTTAGTCCATATGTTCCCTTGTCACGTGACCTTCTTTTCTCTAACAAGTTTTCGATTCATTGTAAGAATATGGTTTGTCGTGCTCTATGATGATCATTATACCTGTAGGTAATTTTACTTATTTGTCTACTTAATTTTACACTTTATCCTAGTTAAGTTACATTTTTCATACATTCAAACCCATTCCATTTCCACATAGGACAAGTTTTCATCTTACAATAAAATTTAACAAAGATCACTACACTCCAATGAATTTTTTCTGTTTAGGCAGGTTTCCCTTTTACTCAGATTCCATTTTAGATAGGGTTTACTGTATTCATTATATACATAGTTATTTTTTATATATGCTAGCTTTTGTTATTGATGTCTATATTCAAATAAAAATTGTGAAGTATATCTATTTTAAGATTAACGTTTGCATAATAATAATAATGTTACTTCATTGTAAAATAAATTTGTATACACTTTTATTATTGTTAATAAATTATTTAAATTTATATACTTAAAGTAACACAAGAATCATGGGTTTCATTTTGTAATTATTAAGAAAAATCATATTTCTCATTAAAATTTATTAAACATTAAAACAATTTACTAATTTAAACTATCATTTTCTGTGTTATAACACATATGAATTGATTAAGTCACTATTTTAAGACAGATACTTTGAACGTATTGCAGTTGGTATAAAGAGTGTCTCAAAGGTCACTATCTATTTTGAAAAATATATTTATTTCAAAGTACATGCTGCGAAAAATTAGTACTCCACATGGCAATCATCAATGTCTCTATGGAACTCAAAACAATAACCTACTTCCTGGAACACTTTCCAGTATACCAAGTCACAAATAATCTTGTCTGTTAGACCTTTCTTATGCAATTTTCTCTTAAAATTATTTCCAGTTTTCTTGCATTTCAAGCCATTTATCTTGCATATTATCATAAACACATTCTTCCACATTCACCATCAGTGACATGGGTCTGAATAGAAAATTTAACAATTACACAGAATTTGACATAAACCAATTAAGGTTTTGTAAATACTGTATACAGATTTGCACTAAAGCTGCATATCTTTACAACAGCATAGCATTTAAAAAAAAAAAAAATTAATGTCGCCAAAACACAAAGTGACTTTGGAGAAACCCTGTATAGAAAGAACATTTCTACTATATCAAAATAATTCATTAAATGAGATTTTAGTAAAATGTTCATCTTTATATGGAACAGCTTTTAAATATTTTGCAACTGATAACACAATAAATAAGTCACTGACACTACAATTATTAAATACAAGATAAACTAAATGTATCAAAGTTAAATTGTGGGTTTTGATTTTGTATATTTATTGCATTTTATTGTTATATTAAATTATAGCTAATATTGCCAGACATTTTTATTTTTCAACAGTTTCTTAATCTTGGTCTCACATTCAAAAATTTTTTAGTACAGTCCCCTAACATAGTGTTGCAATAAAGTTATCACTTAACTTTCTGTCGTACATGCATATATTATTTAAACTGAATATGCAGTTTACTGAAAAGCATTGAACAGGATAGACTAAACATTGAGTCAACAGTTTTCTTTATTACATGCTTAATTTTAGTAAATATTGTAGCATATTTAAACAACAGAAAATGTATCGTTATCTATCTCGAAGTATATTAGATTATTTTCCAGTGTTTATTGTTAAAAGTCTTGAAAATATTATTAATTTCTTGAGTTTATTATTTATTTGAATCAGAAGTTACTACAAATGTCAATGAAACCATAAATTAAATATATATAATAGTGTTTATCAGTCTTATATAAATATATTTTTCCAATTACAAGGACATATACATATTATCATTCATCTTCAAGGTGATAGATTGTTTTTATATAATTCTGATATTGGATTTGTATTAAATTAAGCATGTAATAATCAAACTAATAGCAGCATTTGTTAAGACACTAATTTTAATTCAGTATTTCAAAGAGCAAGTTTGTTATTGTTTGAATGCTTGCTTCAGGTATGTTGTTTATATTTTTGGATTTTATTGGAGGATTGTTATTTGGAGAGAGAATAGTATAGCCATTGTGAAATGTGAGATTGCAACTTTTTTAAAAATCCTTCAAACACTGGAATGTTGTAAAAATTAAAGAAAAATAAAGATAACTAATGAGTGATATCTTTAACAAAGTCCATATTCAAAAGAAAAGTAATATTTAACAAAATAAAAAAAAAACAGTAACAAAAACCAAAATAACCAGCAGGAAAGTGCAAAAGAGCTAACATTTTGGCCCATGTTGAATGTTTACCCAGTTGTGAGTCATTGTATTTTCTAATATTTAACTTTAGAAAAGTCTATGAATGCCCTATTTATTTTCTGCTTCAACTATTATTGAAAGCTCTTGCTTAGTTCCTCTCTCTGTTTAGATTTTCCTCTTTTTCTTTGTTTTTCTTTCCTCTGTACTCTTGACTTTCCTTTCTGCATTTACTGATTTTCAAAAAGAAAGAAAATCAATACATACAGAAAGGGAAGTCAATCCACATCGAGGAGGAAGGCAAAAACTTAAAAAAAGTCTTGTATTTAAATACAAAACTGAGGAAACTGGCTTACCATAAACAAAAGTAAAGTATTGTACCAATATCCAGGTTTCCAAAATCTGGAATTACCGGAAAATTGGCTATTTTTGAAACCTGCTAGTTTTGAATTTGACAGGTCGTAGTTCACCGTGCAGAATGTTTCGGTTTCCATCGCATAAGTATAAGGCATGTCAAAAACAGTTTCATTATTTATTTTCCATCGGCTGCATTCAGCAGAGTCAACAGTCATAACCGAGTAAAGGTGTTTCAATCGGTAGCCGTTAAGTAGTTACATCTGCCGAATGACAAGCGACATGCACAAAGCAGCCGTCGTCAGTCAGTTTTGGATAGTGATAGGTAGAGTAAATGAAAGACGCTACTAAATGTGACGTCAAAATACCAAACATGTTCCGAAACAGTACTTCCGTAAAGGGCATTCGGCAGAAAAGTACTCAACAGCTCCGGAACCATCAAGTCTGCCGAACGAAGCCATTGTTTATTTTATATTTTAAGTGTATATTTGGCCTACATCCGGAAAACCGAACAGCTTCCAATTGCAAGCTTGCCGGATATTCAGTCCTGTACCGTACTCTGAAGTTTCTGTAAAGAAGTTTTACGTCGTCTTGCGTTCATCTACACACTAAGAAGTAATAAGGATCTTCCCACAGTTTCGTCCAGTGCAATCTTCCTTAAGATTTAGACCATTCGTGTCCTAAATTGCATTATTTAAATTACTAATATGCGGATTAATTGCATCCATGTCGAGTTAAAGATCCATTGCTTGTATCGCACGTAATCAAGTTATATACAATGTTATGTTCATATTTACACACTTTTATAAACAGATTAGACATTAATTAAATTAATCTGCAATGTATTCATTTCAATTTTCAAAATAATTAAATTTAACTTGCAGTAAGACTCATTACATTAAGTAACATTGTCATAGAGGGAAGAGATAAATTATAAGTTAACGTCATTATGTGGTATTTAAAATACTTATAAACGATACAGAATCAATAAAAAACTATTACGAATGTAACACATCCGCGAGAAAGAAGAACACGCGCGAGACTATTGGAAAAAAATTTTAAAAAAATATTCCCGAAAATATAAATAACGATATATTATTATCGTAATAATTTGCGGGTGAAAAAATATTCATTCGAAAACCCAAAAAATTGGGACAGAAAAGCGCGTGCAACGAACGAAACAGACGAACTCGATTGGGAAAAAGGAGAAAAAAAAAAAAAAAAGTCATTTAACAAATTGCCATCTGGCGGCGGCAAGTAGAAATCGCTTTGCTATTTTACCTCGGGATTCGTCTGTTTTTAAGTTATTAATAGGTTGCGTCGTTTAGTCAACGGTCAGACTCCTGTCATGTAGTTCGGTAGTGTGACTCGTTTACGACAAAATTTCGAGTGTCAAACGCAATTAATGTAACCGATCAGCCAGATATTACCGTTGATCGGTTAGGTCATTCAGGTGAAGACCGTCCCCTCTCAAGATGGCAGACAGCGACTCGGACAGAAGTCCGGCCAACGGGGAATCGTCGTCTCCTTGCGTGCAGACGGGACCTCGAGTCGTTACGATATACAAGACCGAAACGGGATTCGGTTTCAACGTTAGAGGTCAAGTCAGCGAAGGTGGACCCCTGAAGAGCATCAACGGCGAACTCTACGCTCCTCTCCAACATGTCAGCGCAGTCCTGGAAGGTGGAGCGGCAGAGAAAGCTGGGATCAGGAAAGGGGACAGGATACTCGAGGTGTAAGTGTCGCGTATTGTTATTATTATTATTCTCTAATCTAAGTTACTCGTTAACGAATTATAATAAGAGTCGTTCGAATGGCTTAACGAAATCTCCGTTCACTAATCAAACATGCCGTTTTTTTTTTTTTTTTTTAAAGGTGTTATTGGTCATTTAAACTCGATTTTCCCACTTTGTAGCCCCTATTACTCGATTTTCGGTAATCTGCGATACTGGCGTATCCGCATGAGATTTGTCTTCCATCCCCTTTCGGATCGTGGCGAAACTTCTCCGACTCGGAGCTCCGAGAGCCGGGGAAGAGCTTTGAGTTGCGGGGATGCCGTTCTCTGACTTAAAGAGTGAAAAAATGCCAATTCTGAATAGACTTTTATGTAAAGAACCGTCAATATTTTTACTTTTAAACGGCCCGCCTTCTGACTAAATGTTCGATGTAACTAATGGAAGTGAAGTTTTGCAGGTGCATCCCGTTGAGATAAAGCGAGAAGTCTTCTCACTTCGGTCTGGTATGTTGTCTGCAAATAGGTGTCAACTGACTGTCCGAAAATTTTGTCTGAATCCAAGAATGGGATTGCTTTGCATAGAATAAATGTTAAAATTTCAGTTGGGAAAATCGAAAGTGATGTAAATTGGTATTGGGGGAACGGCGAAAATCTTCGACTTGGAAAGAATCCGAGTCAAAGACATTAAATCCCCGTGCTGTTCTGTTGACACTTACCTATTGCTTCGTTTTCTTCGAGTGAAAGAAGTATTTGAGTTAGAGAAGTTTTACTGTCTGTTTTTACATAGCATTTTCAGATGTGGAGGCTTCCATCCATAAAAGTAAAAGATGAAAGTCAACTTTTTAAAAATATTGGCAATGTAATTTCATGAGACGTAAATGATTGTATTTTTCTGTTTGTTTTTGAGATTAGTAAGCTCTCAAAAACATTACTTGCAAGAATTGAGATTTTCATTTCTGAGGATGAATAGTGGTTTTCAATTTGTTTGTTGAGAGAGTTATTTCTTCAGTTTTCGTTAAAAATATCCTGGATGAACTAGTTGTTAGTTTGGAATACATTTAATATATAAACTCCTGGCGGACTGTTTCAGAAGTCTTAAACAGTCAAATCTCTCTTCCATTTCTTATAAAAGGCTTTCTTTGTGAAAAAATGCACCAAATCTTTATGCAGGTGCTGGAGTTTAATATAATGTTTCTTTTTGTTTTATTTTAAATTGAGGATTTTAATTTTTATTTGGTTGGTTTAACCTTTCGTTCTTTGATGAGAGACAGGATATTAGCTTCCATATTTTTTTTTATTCAATTTTTCTTTTATCTGTTACGTATTCTCTGATATGAAAGTGCAAGTACAGACAGTAACTAATTTTGCTGAATCTCACTGAAGTATAATATTATACTTTTTTATTTCATCATTTATCCTATTGAATATTTTTTGAAATTTCCAATAATAATAATAATTTATTTTGAGATACAATCATTCAAAATCTTAATTACCAATTTAATCAACTGAATGTTTTTACAGTGTGGTTTTATTAACAATTATTTTACTTTTACTTAGTTTTATTTTAGAAATTTGTATAAGAAATTAATCATTATTTCTTAGTTAAATTATTAATTTTTTATTTCAAAAGTGTTACTAAATTCACCCTCTGACAAATAGCTACAGGTATATAGGATTGTATTGTTAGCTTTATCTTTTCTCCCCTTCTGAGACATGGGCTTTATTCTCTATTCTTTGTACATGTGTATTTTTTATTCTTTTTTTTTCTTTCTCCCCTGTTCTAGTCTAAACCTCAATTCTGCTACTTACAGTCATGTTTCGATTTATCTTAACTTATCTGGAAAAATTAGATTTGTTATAAGTCGAAATTACTTACTTTATTAAATTTTAAACCAGAAGTACATTCGTAAAAATATCCATAAATATTTATAATTTTTTTTTTTTATATTCTAATGTAAAAATGTTTTTAAAAAATAAATGAGATCACAGGGATGGGCAACCTTTTTCAGTGTAAGGATTATATTTTAAAACTTTTGAACTGATGCAGGCCACGTACAAGAGAAAAAAGAAAAAAATGCCAGTAAATTGCAATTATTTATTCATATATAATTATAAATTAATATAGGTATACTTAATTTAACTTCTGGAATTGCGGTGAACATAATATATTGGAAATATTTAGTTGAATATTAGTCGCCGCTAGTTTTAAATTAGTTTTGATGCAAGTCTGTTAGTCAATTTCTTATTTTAATTTTTTACTAAATTCATTGTGGGAAAAACTGTTCACATACGTATTTATTAATATTTTATGCGACGCAGGCATGGGTTGCTGACTCCTGGTCTAGAAGATTTGACACAAAGTTTTCTTTTAAAGAATAAATTAAAAACATTGTTAAAAATCTAGATTGCTTTTTTTCAGTTTCCACTTACCATTTTTTTTTTTAGAACTAAATTTTTCTATAAAATATAAATTAAAATTACACAAATCTATACATTGAAATTTTAATGTAAGAAAAATTCATTTTAAAATCAGATTTGGCAACAAGCCTTAATGTTGCATGCAGTTGTACTTTTGAATTGTGTTAAATTTTATAATTAATTTTATGTCAATCAAAAATAAATTTAGTGCAGAGAAAAGAGGGCATTTCAAAAGTATCCAATAACCTTTTACATGAATAAAATCAATTTTTCACTTTTTTATATTACTCTTCCTAACAGTTCATCACTTTTGTACATTACGATGAAGAAATTGTCAATGTAGTAAATTCCGTGTTTGTTTATTACCTTTTTATCCTTTAAATTGTCTTGTCGGTAAATTTGGCAACTGGTGACGTATGCCAGACTTGTTACGTAAGCTTAAATATGATGTAAAGTTTTCTTGTTTTGGGAAATAAAAAAAAGTTTGAAGATTACATAATAAAATTTACTTTGGTAAATTTGAGTTGAGTACGATTGTAAACAGTTTGCTGATATAATTTAATTCTAATCTGGTATTTCATTTTGATACTTCTTTATACTATTCTAGCTCCTGTAATTAAAGATAATCTTTTACAATTAAATTTTATTTAATTATTTAACATTACCTAAATCTGATTAAAGTTTGTTAAGGTCTTTTTAAAAATTAATAAAATAATTCTTTTTCTCTCTTTGTAGCTTTACTAATTTAGTTATGAATTTTATGCATTCTGTATCATTAAATATGTTATATAATAATTACTGTGCGGTTTTTTAAATGAATTAGAACTAGTAAGTTCATGCAATGTTTGGTATACTTTTATTCATGTTTTAACAGTTTTATAATTGTTAGTTATGGAATATTGCTTTCTCTGCAATAGAAACAGCAATTTAAGAAATTATCCTATACATTATATATGAAGTTAGACTAATTCATAATACTAAGCTTTACAGGATAAAATGTAAAATCAGACAATTTAATACATTAAAATCTGTTTTGCTCTCATTTATACACAAATATTCAGTGTAAGTAAAAGTTTATAATGTGTTTTAAATATTGTTATTGCTAGTTTTAAGTTTTGTTTGTAATTCATTTTGCATATTTAAGACACTACTTTTTTACTGAATAAATATTGAATTTTTTTATAGCTTTAAATATATAAACACTTTAAGGTTATTTAAATTTTTATAATTCAAAAAGGATTAAAGGTAAATAAATTTAACTTTAGTAGCAAAATTTTTCTGATAGTTTGTTGAATTTAATTGTATTTTTACTCAAACTAAACAATAAATATAGTTTATTACTCACATACTCAGAACCAATTACAGTGTGCACGTAAACAAAAACAAAAAACTAATGCAAACGCTTTCAAACTTCACCAGAGTTCTTCTTCGAGTGTTGTAACAATTACCCGATGGAATGTTGTATAAGCTTTTGGAATATAAAATTTAAACAAGCATTCAAATACAAAGACACTGTTTCTTTTACAATCCATCAGGAATTGGAGTTGAATTCTGTTCTCTGGCATATTTTAGCTGGCATTGTTAAAAAGTACCACTCACCATCTGGGCTATAGTTAATCACATACTCAGAACCAATTATGGTGTGCACATAAACAAAAACTATATCCCGATGTGGCGAGTGGTTGTTTACTTTTTAGCAATGTCGGTTAAAATATACTGTAGAATAGTCTTAGGCCTAATGAAGGCCAGAGCTCAACTCCAATTCCTGATGGATTATAAAAGGAACGGTATCTTTGTATTCAAATGCTCATTTGAATATTATATTCCAAAAGCTTTTACGGCATTCCATCGGGTAATCGTTACAACGTCTGAAGAACTCTGGTGGAGTTTGAAAATGTTTGCAGTAGTTTTTTGTTTGTGTACACCATAATTTGTTTAAAGTATGTGATTAACTATATCCCGATGTGGTGAGTGATTGTATTGTTTATTACATTAAAAAGTAGTCATATAATAATTTTCTAATTGTAAGATGATAATTGATACCTTATGAAATGATTGATAAATGTAAGAAAATAATACTAGATTTTTTAAATTATTTTCGTAAGCAGTTTCTAATTTATGATTGTCGTCAATGTGCATAATTTCTTCTTGTTTAATAATTGTTATTGATGATGATAAAATATTTTTCTAGGAATTATTTACATGTACCCGTCTATTATTTTAAAAGTAATGTATTGTATAGTTTAAAAAATGCTAAGGTTGATCACTAATCATTGAAACTGTCAATGCTACTTGTTTCATTAGACATATTTATTTTTATTAATGTTTTAGTCATGTAATCATTCAACTATATAGAAGTGTCTTGTAATTCTGAACTCTTCATAAAGATATTTTGTTTTTCTTTTTAACGATAATAGCAATATAATTTTTATTGAAACACAAATATGATCAATTATAAATATATATTTAAGATTTTAGAAGTTAAATAAAATTAGACAAATTTCTCCTCTCTCTCTCTCTCTAGTTAAATAAATGGCAACTATTTTCTTTTAATAAGCATGTGATTTCCCACAATGTGACTA